TATGCTTTATGAAGCTGGATAAACTGTTTAATTTGACATCCTAGTAGATCATGCTAGCCGTTTACTGCAATATAAACAAATCGATTTATTAAAGAGGTTTAGTTTTTTTTTCTATAGCAGGTTCACAGAACTGCTGTGCGGTGTGAGAAATGAGAAAACGGAAAATTCGAATCGATTTGAAAAAAATAATAAAGTTTGAAGAAAGTGTTCAGCCAAAAACATGTTGAGAATTTTATTACCAACTAGAAGTCTAAAAAATTAAAACTTGTACTCGTGACATTTATACTCCATACATATGGACAATAAGAATTTCTTTTCTTCCGAAATCATAACAAATTATCAACTAAGTTAATTCACGTGCACTCTGAAATGACAACGACAACTCATCCCATCGTTTTGCTCCCAGTTTCATTGTCATGCAGTACGCAAAAACAATTCATCCAATATTTTTACTCCCAGTTTCATTGTTATACAGTGCCTTAAGACGTCATCCCAGCATTTGGCTCCCAGTTGTATTGCTATACAGTGGTCAAAGAAGTCAACCCAACGTTTTACTCTCAGTTTCATTGTTGAACAGTGCACAAAGAAGTCATCCCATCGTTTTGCTACAAGTTGTGTTGTCAAACAGTGGTCAAAGAAGTCATCCAAAAGTTTTGCTCCTCGTTGTATTGGCATACAGTGCCCAAAGAAGTCATCCCAACGTTTTGCTCCCAGTTGTATTGTTATACAGAGCACAAAGAAGTCATCCCAACGTGTTGCTCCCAGTTGTATTGTTATGCAGTGGTCAAAGAAGTCACCCCATCGTTTTGCTCCCAGTTGTATTGTCATGCAGTGGTCAAAGAAGTCATCCCAACGTGTTGCTCCCAGTTGTATTGTTATACAGTGGTCAAAGAAGTCACCCCACCGTTTTGCTCCTAGTTGTATTGTCATACAGTGGTCAATGAAGTCATCCCAATGTTTTGCTCCCAGTTGTATTGTCAAACAGTGGTCTAAGAAGTCATCCCAGCGTTTTGCTCCCAGTTGTATTGTCATACAATTGTCAAAGAAGTCACCCCAGCGTTTTGCTCCTAGTTAAAATTGTCATACAGTGGCCAAAGAAGTCATCCCAACGTTTTGGTCACAGTTTCATTGTCTTACAGTGGTCACACAAATCATCCAAATGTTTTTGTACCAGTTTCATTGTCAAACTTAGGCATAAGATGTCATCCAAACGTTTTGTTCCAAGCTTCATTGTAATACTAAATTTAAAGTAATAAAAAACATTCAAAACAAAACTCAATTTGAAAGTTAAAAAAATATGTGACATTTCTTATGTTTTGATGCATGGAGACGCTTTTTCTATTCATGTCTCGCTCCTTTTTGAGTTCATGCGATTCCCTCGGGTTTGTTTGCTTGTTATCTTAACTTGTCGCTTCCTAATTGAATTACGAGATTTGAACATAAGTAAACTATCAACGGTCGTCTTAGTTTTCTCTTATTGAATAATGCTGTATTATAGATTCAGCTTTAATTCTAAAAATAAAATAGGTATTTGATTTTTTTTTCTCGTTTTTACTCTTATTTAAAGACAAATTGGTGAGTTTATTTAAAAAGGACAATAAAAACCGTAAGTTGATGATATACAGACAACACTAAGGCCAAAATCAATACAGACAAACCACTGTCCTAAAAACACTATACAGAAAACCAGGAAGTCAGAAGCACGAACCGCGCGAAAAACATGAGGTCAACTCTGATGCTTCGAACGGGTATATATAGCTTTTCATAAGCAAACATAATTCGGATGGTTTTGTTTTTAGGAATCTTTTTATTTCAAACAGTTCGTTCATTTTCAAAACTGCACTGTATTTGAATTTCAAAATTTTAAAACGAATATAGCGGCCATCATGATATAGGACAGTCTACATGTTTCCTAACGTAGTAGTTTCCGGTTGTAGTAAAAACAAACAGAAATATTTCGAAAGCGGAGAAAACTGTGCACCTTATAAACCGCTTGAATTTATCAGGTACTTTAATTCAGTAACGGACGGAACGAAGTTGACGAGCATCAAAGACAAAATATTCCGAACGGTTTTGTCAAATACAACTAAGTTCGTCTGTTCCTGGGGTAGAAAAATATGAGGGAAACTATTTAGCTAGAACTGAAGGAGGAACAATGTTTAATTCAATGTTTAATATACTTCTAATTTTTGATTTATCAAAATAATGCAAACTTTACAGTACCAGAACTTTTATATTCGTAACAAAATTAACTGCGTAGTATGATGTGTACATGCATTACACCAAATTGTCATATCAAAGACGCCAATTTGTCATTTTTGAAATTGATGTTTTAAAAATAAGTTATGACAACTGAAAAACAATTAATAAACAAGAATAAACACGTTGAAGGAAGAAATGTAAAGATTGATATTTTCATTTTGTCAATATATCCATTGATGTAAGTTGAGGATGGTGTTCGGCACTTTCCATAGTTTTCCAAAGGGTCATTGACTTGAACGAGACAAATTTGACAATAAATATCAATTTTGATTATAAATTTTAATTAAAAGGTAAAATGCACTCATTTATTCCTTAACCAAAGACAAAAAATAACACTTAATCGGTTTTTGATATTTACAATGTACATGCAGGTAAATGTTATAATTAATTTAAGAACACTTCTACAAATTTCATAGATGAAGGCATGAGATTTATTTGATTTGGCGTTAAATAAATCATCTTTAAAATTCTAACATGTAAACCGAAAAATAGGATAAAAATCATATTTTCATCTTATACAATACTGAACGTTATATTGACATTTAGCATAAATTGTTAACATAATACTATATGTTCGATAAGCTTCAGATGATTGTTTTACCTGAACATGTACATTTCCTGGAAGTTTTATTTTAAATTTCACTTGTAATCAAGGTTTTATGAAATATTGTGATGTTATAATATATTTGTGTAACACAGTTATGATAATAAAACTTTTTAAATTTTGATTTCTTTTATTCTTTCTGTGTCTTTTTCTAGTATTGAGCTATTTTAAATATGTATTTGTAAAAGTCATATAGAAGGTAAGTATGTTGATAATTATAGTGTTTAAGCATAAAAGTCATCAACAGGAAAACACAGTATGATTTAAACATCTATCAAAATGAAGGAAAAACATGATAATGGATCATAACATACCATATTACCCATGGGCATGTCATAATTTCATCTAGTCTACATGGTAAATTTAACCAATATTCATTCACAAAAATAAGGATAGAATTATTGATTCAAACTTATTTATCATACATCTTGAGAGGAAAATTCCTACAAATCTATACAGTAGTAGAGTAATGACAAATTACAGATTAATTGCCCCATGGTTTTAGGTATAATGCCATATCGGATTATTACAACCGAAATATGTCTATTTGTTCCTTTATTCGTGTTAATCGGATTTCATATAGAAGCTTCTCAAGAAGAATGAAAACAAGCTAGAATTATCCTACACCTTCATCTTCCGCTAAATAGACGATGTCCTTGACTATACAGCATCATTTGCATATACAGTATATATCTCCAAGTTGATACGATATTCCAGGGCTTGCATTTTCTATGAAGATTTTCTTGATGAGGTATTATATGGAACGTATTTCATCAAGCGTTTGAAATTACAAGTCATCTTTTGAAAGTTTATAACGGACGCCATCATAAATGAAAACAACACTATAAATCTCATGCCTCCGAAGCGCTGTTCTTTATTTACAATGAACCTTCATCGGGAACGCTCAAACCACAATATTTGAAATACAGGGATGTATATACTTAGAAACGTTTGGTGCATAGTTTGATCGCCCGTTATTTAATGTTTATCACAAAGATTACTACCGAAACATACCTTTTGTCACGGACACAATCCGTCCAGGGATGTATATACTTAGAAACGTTTGGTGCATAGTTTGATCGCTCGTTATTTAATGTTTATCACAAAGATTACTACCGAAACATACCTTTTGTCACGGACACAATCCGTCAATCTTTCTCGTTTATGACGTCGTCGAATGTATCAAATCACGGGATTTTTACTAGACATAAAAAATAAGAATGCTGTCACTAATGGTACAGGAACTGATCATCTGAGTTCTCCCTATTTTTTTTAAGCTATACGCTTTTTCAAGATCTAATGATTTATAAGAGCCACTATTTGGCCCCATGAAATTTCAAACATCTTTGTTTAAAATGAGTGTTTAACTAAATATCTTTAAAATACATTATTTGATTGATGTATAATGCCTCATGATTTTCGAATTCAAAGGGTAAAAAAAGTTACCTTAAGGGTAATACAAATCCGCTAATGTATGATGAATTAACGCCTGATTTGAGTTATTAACAGATTTCTTACAGAAGTAACACGATGGGTGTCACTAATGGCGATATAACTGTTTACTCCTCCGGAGCACATTAGTTCACCCCGTTTAAAAGCTGGAAGCACATCTAAATCTTTAGGTTTCTGATAAGCAAATTGTTAACTGTTGCATGTCTTTTTCTTTTGCAATTGCTTTTTCTGTCTTTGCTTTACTAATGGTTATCACCCTTTTGTAATGTCATACTTTTTTATTCTAGTTTTTTGTTGCTTGTAACCATTTTTATCCAATAGTTTGTTGCTCATATATATATAGGGTCCACACCCCACAAAATAATCTAGTGCAAAACGATTACTGTAACCATTGTTGTGTTTTATTACATTAGAAGGAAAACATGATCTAGTTTTATTCTTATTCTTTAACAATTATGAGAAAACAACTTTCTTTCAGGAAATTCTGGCATGATAATATCGCATAGCAAAGAACGACTCTTGACAAGATAATTATAATTTTGGAAGCAATTAATGACTTTTGAACTCAATTTTTAAAGCAGTTAAGAGCGGAATCGTATATTTATTCTTTAATATTTCTGTTAGGAATAATAACAAAACAAATTAAGTGGATGTTATTTTTTTCTTCATACTTCTTTTTCAGATCATTGTGGCTAATCAATGTTTGTAAACTCAATTTGTATTGAAGAGCCCTACTGACGTTGATTCTATGTTTCCGGCGGCCATATTAGTAAGTGGGGCGTTGACAAAGATGATTACAGTAATAATTAAGTTTATCGTCACACGAAGGACTCACTTAGAGGTAAATTACACATGATGAAGCGTGAAACTTCATTACTAGATTTGTAATTCACAAATTAATATGTATCTTCAAACAGTTCATTTCATTACACTTGTCCAAGTAAATTTCTTCAAGACACTATGAAGAAACACAGCACGACTTTGTAGCGACAGAAAATTAGTACGCAAAAGGTTAATTTCGATGGGAATCAAAATTGATTGGAAAATTCAAACAGAAATTCTTAAATAAAATCATGGAAGCAGTTGATCCGTGAGCTTATTTTCTCGGATGATTATTGACAGAAAGATCAATAAGAACTCTTCAGAACTTTTAATTCAGTATAAATTTGTCAGTGGAGACACAAAATAAGTTAGGAAAGGCAACAATAGTTTACATTTCAGATTTTTGTTGTTGACAAAGCCCATTAATGCTATATAAGTAAGACAGATAAAAAAAAAAGGTTTATCAGAACACTATAAACGTCTGAAAGTTGCAGCAGCCACTTACTAATATTATAATAAACAAAATTTCATAATAAACAATACATCAAGCTTAAAGCCTCTATATTGAAACTGCATTGATTTCAATTAGCAGGTCAAACTTTCACTACTTCATCCTGATCAGCCTTCTTTGCTTAGTCTACCTATTAAATTTGTCGTCAATGTGTTCTCGTCCTGGAAATGCACAAAATATTTGTTACTGGACGTTAAGAAATCAAAAAGCAACAATCTAGTAATAGTATTATTTAGTCTCTTCACATTTCTTTAAGACTCTGGATAATTAAGAGTTTGACAAATGGAAGATACTTGTTATTTTTGTGTCATTGGGTATCTATCTTAAGGACGATTTATTCCACATATTTATATGATCATAAACAATGTCGTGCGTGTTGATTTTTTATGTTTGAACCTTTTCTGTTTGATTTTAACTATTTGTAGCGGTAAATCAGAAAAGTAACTCAATATATAAATTACATACACCATATTTAATTTGCTATTATAGTTTATGTTGTTCAAAATCTAAATATATGATTGGTTTCGTACCATTTCGTGTGTAAAAATGAAATTTGTAATAACTATCAACACGGATTTGTATTGCTTGCTTTACCATGTAATAAACAAATATACTTTCTGGTCAGTTTCACAAAATGAAATGGATAATTTTTATAAAAATTTTGATCATATTTTTTCTAACATCTGCGCCCTTTTTTTGTATTACAAAGAGAAATCTGATTAGGTGAAGATATTTATTTGCCGTCTTGAAATCCAAAATATTTATTTCTTCTGGCTGATTATTTTTACCACAAAAGATGGCAAACAAAATATCAGATGCGCATCAAATTGAATCTCTAACAACACGTGGAATCAGATAAGTTTATAACATGCTTGAAGTCTACGACATGCAATATGTGTGTGGTAAATAGTCAACAGAACAAATACGGAACTTTGAGTAAGGGTTTACGGTCATGCTTATATAGGATTACTTGCGCATCAGAAGACGCAAAAGAGTGATTGTAAAATTCATAATATGTTCTTAAGAAAATAAAATCCCTTAGATTATTATCTTTTATTAAAATTGGTTTTATTTAGGAATCGGGGATCGGCATTACAACTCGACATGTAATAAATATTTTTTTTTTTTATCTTGTTATTGAAAAAAAAATATCGCAGTTACTCCGTACAGAACAGTGATACCATACTGCAAATATATATGATATCTGTGTACATCGAGGAAAATCTGATTTCACTTATTATTAGAAATTGTACAGAAAAGGCGCCTTACTCTATAATATTGACGGATTGAATAACAAAAACAAAAGTACAAGCACAACAATAATAGTCAATACCGAAGAACGGCGGCAGTTCTTGAAAACAAGCTCAAAGTATTTAACCCATGCTAAGAATTACATTGTATTTGTATATGTATTGAAACACGGGTTTTCTTACGTTATTTGATTAAGCCAATATAGAGGAACATATAAGATGTCTGAGATGATCTGTCTACCTCTTGTCTGTTGTTTTATTTCTGCAATATTTCTGTGAGAGCTTTGTTTTAATGAACATTTCTGAATACTTAAATAGCATTCTGAATTTAGTATCAAACTCTAAGTTTGTAATAGTCTATCCTCACGTCTTTTGTGACGGCTTCAATGTAGCGTTTTGATAAATATAAGGCATGACATGGCAATTGGTTTGTGGATTGATAAAGACAGATTTGGAAATAACCAATTACTGTGTGTCCCTATCTGTCAGTTCTCTATAATCCTTCTGAGATGACGGCCAGATTTAGTTATTGATTTTCGTACTGACGGTTCTCGTTGGTCTGTTTAGTTTTATCCATCTGAATATAAAGTCTTATATTGGATTAGTCTGTTTCTGTTATTCTCTTTAAAGTCAGTGAAAAAACAACGTTTATAACAATAACGTTTGTTTTTGTAAAAGTTCCATTTACAATATAAAAATGAAGATTAAGACCTCCAACGAGCTTATTGATTTGATATAATAATACATTTACCTTTTACTTGTCATTTGGTGTTGTATGTATTCTAAAATATCTTAAATGATGAATTTGTATAAATTTTTGCCCTTTTTTAAGTAGTGAATTGTCATGGAAGATAATATTACGTTGTATCTATTGCATATACAAATGTAGCGTTTCATAGAATAGGCTTTTATAATAAGTAAATAGTAATGAAAAACTATATTAAGATTCGATATTGCAACTGGCAAAAACTAATACTTTTTCAGAGCCAGCTGGAAAAAAAATATGCTGATCCACAAAATGATGGAAATAATTTTCCATGAAAAAATAAATATTCATGCAGCCCCGTCTAAAAAAATAAATAAAAGTTTCTCGAAATGATTGAAAATAAATGCTCGTGCGAAAAATAGCCTTCTGCGCTTATCCCACTCAACAGTCAGTCAAATGGTCGTCCCCACATGTTGTATCGATATTCTTTAGTGGTTACTCGAAGACCTGCTTTGAGCTTGTTTAGGACTTTGTTGCCAACAATTAATAAACGTCAATGTGTTTACCATTATACATTACTCAAATGGCTGTAGTATAGTTATCAATGAAGTGTTTTCTTGTACAGTTGTTGTTAACCTTTCTTTTATAGGCAATCCATTCTCGTTGTATAAAGGAAAACTTTAAAACAGATTCCAACAACAGTCTAACCAGGGGCGGATCCAGCCATTTTTAAAAGGGGGGGGGGGGGGGTGTTCCCAACCGAGGATAAAGGGGGGGGGTTCCAACTATATGTCCCCATTTAAATGCATTGATCGTCAAAAAAGGGGGTTCCAACCCCCGAACCCCTCCCTCCCCCTTCCCCCCTGGATCCGCCACTGCTAACAATTACTGGTACAACAATATTCGAGTACACCAGATCCAAATGAACAATGGCAATCTAAACATAGTAGTTACAGGGAAATGTGGACATCATCTTCAAGTCTGGTAAAAGATGATTAAGTTCAGATATAAGTGATCAAATACTGTATTAAATGGTCAGAAGACTGAGAATATATTTTGGACAAGTCTTGGCAGAGGATCTTTTGGAGAAAGTGTCGGCAAAAATCTAAGACATCTAAAACACCGGTTTGCTAATACACGAAGATAATTACCATCTATTCATACCATGTCAGAAATATTAATAAAAAATACCGGTTATACATTTGTTTTTGTTTGCTTGTTTATTTTAAAGAAAATGTATAGTATAGCTTTAAATATGTTCATATTTACAATAATCAGTAACTCATTTTGCAAATAAGGTAAACAAAATCAACAATTCGTTAACATCGGTAACCCATACTGATCAAAGGTATTTTTTTTTATCACAATCATATAGATTTATATTTAATTACGTGCAAAACAGTGTTAATTGAATATATGCGCAAACACATACTATATCATACGTTTTTTCATAATTTGTTGAGAAAATGCATAAGAAGCTTGTAACACTGCCATTATAATGGCGTTAATCTAGAATTAAATGTATACGTCCGAATAACGACCGTTTTGATTTGCCTCGTAGACTTAATTTCTAAGTATAATTCTTTCCTGCATATCATCCTATTTATTGGTGTTTTTTCTGCAACTTCTCTGCTCTAGATTCCCGGAATGCTGGTATGTTTCTTCTCATATACAGTTCGTAGAAAAATAAATTTAGAATAGTAAGTTAGGAATAAGTTTGCATAGCACATTATAAAGTTATTTGAAACAGATTTCTGTTGCCCTTGATTCCCGGTCAACCCGTTCGAAGAACTTACCAATTGCCATTTGACGTTAAAAACTGGAATAAATCAATCAACCTATTATTCACCATTCTCTTCGACTTGCAGTTGGAGGAAAATAATAGACCAATATGATAACTCTGTTTTTGATTTTATGAGTTTTGGACTATTGTCATATCGAACTTATAATCAATAAGGTCCTTCAGGAAAAACATGTCAAACGTTTAACAGTTATATTTTGGAAAGGCTACAATTTTTTGTCATCGCATTTCCTACTGAAGGTGTTTGAAATATTTTGAATTTTTTTCTTCTTAAAGTGATGGTTATAGTTATTTTGTTCTTTCGATTCCTATTTAAAGATTGCAATGTAAGAATTTTATATTCTGTCCTTTCTTATTATTGAGCAATGCTTATGTACAATTAACATTTTGCTTGAATTCATGAACATAACTAGCTTTTGTGGGTTTTTTTGGTGTTTCAACCAAAGGTTTGCCATTAAACGAACTAGTTATAGGTTTGACTTTCTCAAAGACACTTGCAGAATGAACACCGTCTTATATTTCCAAATGACAATGCTTCCAGTTTTCTTGACAAAACGCGTAATGCCAAAGTTTTATGTGAAACAAAAAATCGCATCAACTACATCATCAGGTCGTGTTAAAATCAGCTGTTTAATATTCCCGAATAAAAAACAAATTCAAAAGATTTCTGAGGTCATGTAACAACTAAACATTTCTCATTCTTCCTTGGTTTTTTAAATTAATTTCAATGTTTAATTTTATTTACCGAAAGAGTACAACATCTAATCTATTTAGTGTAACAAAAATCAACTTATTTTAGCGAAAGAGCTTACACAATGTATGTTTCATAAAATCGGAAGGACACTTGGCATTTAATTTTGGATTTACTGAGTCTAAGATAGCATCAATATTGGAAATAATAAATCAGTCTTCCTTACAAAATGGAGCTCGAAATGTGATTTCCTTAAATGTTTAATTTGGTTGTACGACAAAAGAATCCTTCGCTTAGTCTTCATTCTATTTAATCTTTCTCGTGTACTTTTTCTTCATATCACAATCGCTAACGGAGGGGATTACATCCTCAACATGATAAAGTTTCATGCTTTTTCAATAGCTTTATTGATGAATAACAATCTAAAATCTGACGCTTTATAATGCCTTAAACCTGATGGGAGTACTAACCGTTCTAATCACACACTGCACGATGCTACAACGAGATTTATAAGCAATGGATCACGTTTTGCTCTTTCCCATCATAGGCTATGTCATAAATAGTTTGTAGTCTGTAGAATCGACAGATATAATTAGATTTCCTATCACTGATCGCCCTTTATGGCAGCCATGGGAGAAGTCAAATGCCGTATGTACAATGTTATGCAAAATGAAGGCATCAAAACAATAAATTCTAATTAAAATTAAAAGAAATTAAAAGAAGCCATAAATAAACAAACCCTTAGGGAATCTGTTATTCTGGAAACCAACTGTCGTATTGGATTATAATTGAAATTAAGTTATTATTTTAATACTCAAATAAATAAAGTTTAAATTAGATATTTTATAATTTTATAATTTACGCTGTACATATTTAGTGATTTTTCTTCAATTAATTACATATGAAACATTGAGCATGTTTACGTTCTATATGTTTAATATCATTTGGGAAACTAATATATATAGAAAAATGGAAATATCTAAATCGTCACCAAAAGCGTAAAAAAAAAGGAAAGGTGCCGCCAAGACGAAAACAATTAACTTTACAAAAACATGGCTCAGAGACTTGAGGAATGTCAAACTCCGAAACAGAGGTGACATTGCTGTGCTAAATTTTCCCACATAACATAGTCTAGTCAATTTAGTGAACAACCTGCAACTAATTGCAACACAAAGTTTTTCTCTGAAAAACAAGTCTGTTACTATCTATGAATAACATACTAAAACTATACAAAAATATATTTTGCGGAAAGTGGTGTAATTTATAAAAATGTTTAGTAGTAAAAGTAAGGTTATATGAGTTGCTTCCCCTTATTTCCCAAAGTTGAAAAAAATTAAATTATACAAAAAATGTTCTGTAGTTTTTAAAACAGTTGAAATAATACAATACAATACATAATTATTTCAATTTAAAAGAATAATATTACAAATGAATCACTTTCCTGTCTCAAAATTTGTATATTTGAATAAGGATATAGACCGAGATTGTGTTCTGCTATTTTACAATCCAAGAATCTAATTCCCCAAAATAGTGTTGGTAAGTAACCTATAAATAGAAAACTGTGCTGAATTAGAGTTACCAACTTAGTCACATTCTTACTTGGTATTTGAAAGAATTCTGCCCCTGTGTTAAAGGCACAGACAGTTAATTTTTTTTGGGGGGAGGGGTTCCAGAAAGTCATGTTTTGTTCTTTATAAAAAAAATGTTATTGCAAGATTCAAAGTCTTTAATGTATTTTTTCCCCCACAACTTTAGAAAGAAAACAATATATTTTTTTCATTTACCTTCTGGAATAAACATGTTAAGATTTAGAATTCAACAATGTTTCATAAAAAAATAAGAATGATGAGTGTTAAATGATTTTATGTTAAATATTTTTTCACAAATGAAAATTTCAGGCTCCTCGAAGCAAATAGCTACTCATGTAATTTGCGACGATCTCAGTACTCACACACCATATAAATAAAGCTTTGACTGTAACACTGAATCCACGTTTCACTTTGGTTACTAATCGGATGTGTACTTATTTATATTTTAGTCAGTGCCAACAGTATTTATTCATCAACTGTAATTACTAACCTTTGAACTAGCTATGAGAACTCAGTGTCTTTTTGTTAATTGGTCATATACTCCGTGCTGATCTTTTTGAGTTGAGCCCTTTCCAACTGGTTTTTCCAATTTGTTCTTACGTTGTTTGCTATTTAAATAAAATTGAGAATGGAAATGGGGAATACTGTATGTCAAAGAGACAACAACCCGACCAGATCAAGAGCAGATAACAGCTGAAGGCCACAAATGGGTCTTCAACGCAACGAGAAAATCCCGCACCAGGAGGTGGTCCTCAGCCGGCCCCTAAATAAAAACTGTTCCTGATTATTGGAGGGTTGAGTGCTCGCAAACAGGGTTAACCCTGCACACTATGAATATGATCATCACAAGTCAGTGGCCCTTTATTACTTGGTTGTTATTGTTTGCTGTCTGTCATATTTGTTTTTCCGTTTATTGTTTTAACATTAATCAGGCCTTTGAGTTTCTCGTTTGACTTGTTTTATATTTTGACGATGAGCTATAGTTGTTTACATCCACACCCACATCATTGATATCTCTTGTAGAAAGTTTTCTCATTGGTAATCATACAACATCTTCTTATGTTTTTAAAGTGGGGAGATTTTATAATAAGTGGTGGTTTCATTGGCAAGCAATCAAACTTACTATCAAGAGATCACTGATAGAGTTTAGTGGACCATAAAACTTAAACATTTATATTCTTTGGCATGAGGTGTATTTTTTTAAATATTTTTATAGTTTCGTTTAAATGAGTTGAATACAGGTCAGCATTCCGGAAGCAGAAAACAGCGTCTTTAACATTGATATATCTGTAATAGAGTATATTTATGAATAAAGAGAGATTTGAGGTTTTTAAAGTCAACGAGAAAGCAACCCAAACGATTAACAAAAACCAACAGACATACTTTCAGATAAGACATGACTATCTAAACGCTATCTCTGGCCATCAAAGTCGCCCACAGACACTACAAATTTTGATTCATACACAGATGATGCATGATCATTTTTTTACAGTTCTTAGCCTAAGCTGATTATCTTTTATTAAATTAATTCAATGAGATATATTAAATAAAGAACTTGGTAATGTTTTTTCTTTATATACTAGTAAGTATATTTATATCTTTGACCATAATATTTTCGCATAGCAGACAACCCATGTTAGTTCTTTGTCATTAC